TTCTGGAGAAAAAAACTTTTATAGATTTTTTTTTATTTTAAATATTATTTTTATTGATTTTTATTTTTTTTTTAAATTTTTAATAAACTATTTTTTATCTTTATTATTAATTTAATAATTTTTTTTTTTTTTTTTTTTTTTTTTTTTTTTTTAAAAAAAGAGCAAATGGCTATCACGCTTTATTATATTTATTATACTTTCACTTACAATGTAAGGTACAATAATCAATAGTACGACATACGTCTCTTTTTGCTAGAAAGAGTTTAATGCAAGGCTCCCATATGGAGCCTGACCCCTGTGCTCTTTTAGTACTATTTAAGGAATATAGACAAAAAAAAATTCAAAAATTTATATCTAATTATGAATGGCATCCAGCTACCTGGAATTAAATGTATACCTAATCACATGAAGGTTCTGCAGCCAATTTATACAGGTTGGCCTTCAAGTCATGATTAGGATTGGCACATTTGCTTTCCAAATATGGCTTGATGTATGGCAAGCAGAATAATGTTGGAGGTGATAGGAAATGAGTACCTTTTTGCATGAAGGTGCTGCAGCCACTTTATATAGGTTTGCCTTCAAGTCACAAAAAGGATTTGGCATACCTATGCTTCAAGTGTGGTGGAAGTGTCTTATGGGTGGAGTTCTTATTGGTTTTCTTAATGACACCGGAACCTAACTTTGTACAATAGACCTATATTGTTGAAGGGATAAGTAAGAAACTTCCATTGTCATTACCAGCTCATGTTGCGGGAGTAACTAAAATCTCTGGTCATCACACATTACTCTACTAAGTTCTTCAATCACTAGCATGACACCTGCAACTAACCTAGCTTATTGCTAGTTGCATTGGCATTGGCTGCCATTTCACTCCAGATACTGTGGGACGCAACTTCTTGGGTACTTTTGGATAATAATAGTTGTACAGAGGTTTCTTGGGCATATCTAATTTAACTGCCGATCAGTAAACAATACCAGGTTTGGTAATGATGACCATGTCAATCTTTTGGAGGGGGTAAGCCATCCATTTTTTTTCTGAGGAGCCATGGAAGAGAGAAAAATTCCTAAAGTCCACGTCCTAAGAAAGGTTACTGCTTCTTAATATGGTCCTTGAGAAAAAAGAATCAACTGGTCAGAGGAGTGATGTTATAGAGACGGAGTTTTCAAAAGAGAGAGAGGCCTAGGGAGGAAAACTTTCAGGAAAAAGGGAAAAACCTAGCTTCAGCAGGAAAAAAAGGGAAAAAGGAAGGGAGGAGTAAAAATAAAAAGAAAGAGTATATAGAAAAGAGGAGAGAAGATAGGAAAAGGGAAATAAAAAGGTATGGGGATAGGGCATAGAGAGAAGGGAAAAGGGAAGATGAAAAAAAAATAAACAACCCAAAAATTTCCTAAAAAGAAAATTTTCAAGCATAGAAAGAGAAGTGGGAAAGAGTTTTTTTATAATGATTATAATTTATTAATTTAATAATTTTTTATTAATAAATTCTCTTATATTTTTATAAATTAATTGGTATAAATATTTTGACAGACTTGTATATATATAATCATATAAGAAGAACAGTTCTCATGATATTAACTGTTATTGAGTTGCTAAGCAACAATATATTATAATTGATATAAGAAAAATGATTTACTTTATTATTTATATTTAAAGTTAATTAAATAATATTCTAATTATTTATAAAAGTTAATAAAGAATTTATTTATTAAAGAAATTCTTAAAAAGCTCTAATCTTGGACATAAAGTCTTTTAATAAAAAAATTATATGCCAAACCTTATATTATTCTTTCAACCTATTTTTATATTATTAAATTTAATATTAATAATCTACATATATTATAACAATATATAAAGTATATTATGAAACTTTTTTGAAATTTTTATTTATCTGTTATATAAAAACTATTGTATAAGTATTAATAAAAAATATAGTATATTAAAATATAATTTAAAATCTAAAAATTATAATAATATAAACTTTATATAAAAATATTTTTTGAATTAAATTTACAAATATAATTTTATAAATTTTAATATAATAAATTTAAAAATTTAATTTAATCTATACATGTTATTAAAATTCATAAATTTTGATACAATTGATATAATTATTTGCTGCAATTAATTGAGTTACTATTTAAACATATAAATAATTAAAATATAACACAATTATTTTTAAGGATTTTAAAAATTGAATCAACAATAAATAATTTATATCATATATATAATTTAATCTATAGATTTTTTACTTTTTTAAAAAAATTTTTGCATAATTTTTAATTTGTAAATTTTAAAATTTCAAAAATTTAAAATTTAAAATAATTTTTTTTATATTAAAAATAAAATAAATCTAAAAATTGATTAATAATATATCTTTTTTATAAAAAATTTTTTTTATTTTTTAATTTACTATTAATTAAAATTTTGCAACACACTATATAAGTTTTAAAAAACAATAAAAAATATAATTTTTTAATTTAAAATTTGTTTTTATTAAATGTAATATTTAAAGAAACTATTTTTTCAATAAAATTTGTACTAAAGATTAAACCAGTATATAACTATCATCGTCATTAGGTCGATCATTTTGACCTAAAAAAAAAATGACGGGCCCGCGAGATCTAAATTCCCAGATCGAGAGTCTAATAAATCGCCTTCGCCGACGGTATTTAAATTCAATGAACATTGTGTACACTTTATATATATGTTTCCAACTGTTGCCTGACTTGCCTTTCTTTAAATGTGAAGGCAAGTTGTGGGATCATGGTCTGTTAGTCTAGAAACAGCTTTACTCCTTCGACAAGTGGTCTCCACTAGTCGATGGAATCAGGTTGGCACCTTAATCAATCTGGTTAAGGACGTTGGTAGAAGATTAGTTCTTGCTCAACCAAGAGGTGTGCCAGAGATCTTGAAAGCTTTTCATAATGTCGCCAAGAATTATATCCATATTGTATCTTTTACGTATTCTAGAACTTGCAGTGGGGAATATTGTTCGCCGCGTGTTGCGTTTGATACGCGAAGTGTATAACTCCGAGGTTGGTACGACAGCAGCTTTTCATAAGGCCTCCACAGCGGAAAGCGGAAATGGTAATAGTAGTGGAAATCCCAATAAATCATCCTCTTCACTAGTGGAAGAAGAAGAGGAAGAGGAGGAGGAAGAGATGAAAGGAAAATCAATTTTTCAACAAACAAGGACTCATGATCTTCACGACGGATCAGCAGGCTCCTCTACAGGAACAAACTTTTTTTCTTCCTCGTCCTCCATGATCAACTTGTTGAATGTCAAAAGTGCGTCGATGGATTATAATCGAAAAAATTTTAATATCCTTCATTCAGATACTTACCACGTATTGGTACTTGAATATCAAATGATGTTACCTCCTTGACCTTTGTTAATGTTACATCTCAAGCCTATAATCATATCCGAAATACAGGAAATGATTAATGAGTTAGAAATCATGTACGCTAACATTGCCGATCAAGCGATGGAACATATTCATTCAAAGTACGTGATGTTACATATATTTATAGACGGGTTATAAACAAATCGAGTGATATCGATTTTGTGATTATAGCGAGATTATTATGACAGTGGGTAAATCGCATACAGTAGAAGTTTTCTTAAAAACAGCAGCAAAGAAAAGGAAATTTACAGTAGTAGTTGCAGAGACATCGCCAACGTAAGTAGAAATGTTAATTATCACATATTCACAAAATGTCAAAGTTCACACATGATATTATTGACCAGGTATCTAGGTCATCAGATGGCTTTATCTCTGTCACAAGCAGGTATTGACACAACGGTAATTTCAGATTCGGCAATTTTTGCCGTTATGTCAAGAGTAAATAAAGTTATAATGGGTACTCACGCGGGTAACTTAAATGCATTGTGTATGAAGATTGTTTAAAAAAATTTTTCGGAATCATAACTCTTTGATTCATTCAGTACTTGCGAACGGAGGGTTGATCTCCGTAAGTGGTGCTCAAATGGTAGCCACAGCAGCGAAACATCATTCTACACCTGTTGTGGTGTGTACCGGGTTATATAAGTTATCGCCACTATACCCATATGATGAGGATTCATTTAATGATCTCGTCGCGCCCGATCCAGTGTTAAGCTTCGAAGAAGGTAATGTGAGATCGAACGAAAATGACAATAGTGACAATGGATTATTAGGACGGAAATATTCTTATGACTGATTGATATTTTTCCATTTAGGTGAATTGATAGACAAAGTCACTCTATTGAACCCATATTATGACTATGTTTCACCCGAACTAGTCAACCTCTTTATTACAAATACGTAAGTTCTTTTTAAAATTAAAAAGATTTCTATCTAAAATTGATCTTTTATATTTTGCATACAGTGGAGGACACCCTCCCTCGTATTTATACAGGCTCATAAATGAAAATTATGATCCTGAAGATACCGTCATATGAAATTAATGAGTTTCTGAAATAGGAATGTGACTGGATAAAGAATGACTTCCATTCTGAATATTTCTGTATGCATTCTCTACTAAAACTTCATTAGATAATCGTAATCTCGCCTTCACCATTTTCAAAGCATTGTATAAACAAGAATTGTATTTTCGTTCAGATTGCCGGGTATTAATCGAGCATAAAAAGTATTTAGTCTTAATCACGCGGGACATTACTTTGGGGGGATAATATAAGCAATTTTAGACGATATGTATATTAAATTTTTCTGCTGAAAAACTTAATATCAAATGAACTGGCGACAGACAACATTTGTATATCTGAAAATCGCAAAGGACTTATTTCTATCGTTACATGACATTTTTTAAGAATTGCAAATGATTTTTTTTTGAAGCAGTCAAAAAAACCACTCGTTTCCAAAATAAGAATAATCATAACGAAGGTTATTATAAAACCTCTCGGACCGACCAACCGCATAACTACTTAATAAAATATGTATATGTTTTGCAAGGTACAACTTTCTGAGAAGATATAATTGTCTAAGGTTTTGCACATTTGCCTGCGGAGGATTACACGAAAATTACTATAATGTATTAATGTATCGTTCTACAGTATTACTGCCACCGCTTCTTCTTTCAAAGCTCGTTCCTCGCACATTCTCCGACCCGCATATTAATAAAACCGTAAATCTCAAAGTTGTAACATGAATTATTCGAATCCTAGAGTTTAGTAACTTTGTGTAGTCAACAATGACACGCGCGTCAACTCTCATTTTTATGCGCTTATTGATACAATTAAAGTTCAAAGCATGACCAATAATGCAATGTGTCATCACTGAATTATTAGTCGTCGATTCGGTAGCTGATATTCATTCTCATTGATAATAAATGCCTTATATCAAATGTTGATATGCCTTTACTTTTTGTCAAGAATGCTTTGAGACACAATCGCGTTTAATTCTTAGTTTTTGATGATTTTTTCGATGTACACACGAGACTTAATCGATTTATGTAATGAAAAGAGAATGTGCGAATTGCATAAAGGGAGGAGGCATTAATTGATTACCAGTTTGGTTAATTGCAATAATAAAGCATCGATGATTTTTGTAAAGCCCGTAAGAAACGCATTACTAAAAAATCGTCTATTTAAGTAGTTACCAAGCTTCGTTCTTACAAATTGCATTTTAAGCATCCTTAAAGAAAAAAGAAATAATTTTTTTTTACAAAAACAAATATATATATACTGTATATATAAATTCATATTATTCACATCTCTAAAAAATGTCATTAATCTTCACTCAAAGTCAAAAATCTCTTGTTGCCTTATTGTTGGTCTTTATAACCATTTCCTCGGGCATATTTGCCGCACCAGTAGACAAACGTAATTTCTTAAACAGCGGAAATAAGCCCCTCGTGACTTTCCAAAATGCCAACGAAAATATCGCTACCACAGAAGCCGCTAAAGTTAACTCTTTAGGGGTGGAAACTCTCAATGCCGCTGAAGCTGCTTCCAACTTTGATCATGAGAACTTAGCTTCGTTTGTGATTGTCAAACGCGACGAGGGCAAACGTAATTTCTTAAATAATGGTGGATATGCACCTCTTGTGACTTTCCAAAACGCCAACGAAAATATTGCCAGCACGGAGGCCGCTAAAGTTAACTCTTTAGGGGTGGAAACTCTCAATGCCGCCGAAGCTGCTTCCAACTTTGATCATGAGAACTTAGCGTCGCTTGTGATTGTCAAACGTGACGAGGGCAAACGTAATTTCTTAAACAATGGATATGTACCCCTTGTGACTTTCCAAAACGCCAACGAAAATATCGCTACTACTCAAGCCGCCAACGTCAATTCTTTAGGATTAGAGAGACTTAGCGCTGCCGAGGCTGCATCCACCTTCGATAATGAGAATGCAAACATGTTGTTCATTGCCAAACGTGACGAGAGCAAACGTGCCTTCTTAAACAATGGATATGCACCTCTTGTGAGTTTCCAAAATGCCAACGAAAATATCGCCAGCACAGAAGCCGCTAAAGTTAACTCTTTAGGGATACAAAGTCTCAATGCCGCCGAAGCTGCTACCAACTTTGATAATGAGAACGCTCAATCGTTTTTAATTGTCAAGCGTGATGAGAACAAACGTGCCTTCTTAAATAATGGATTCCAACCCTTCGTGTCTTTCCAAAACGCTAATCAAAACATCGCTACCACTGAAGCCGCTAATGTTAACTCATTAGGAATCGAGGCCTTTAATGCCGCAGAAGCCGCTTCCGCTTTCGATTCCGAGAATGCTCAATCACTTCTTATTGTAAAGAATTAATTCATGGTTAAAAAAGAGAAATTTCCTCTATTCTATCATACAAAAAATTAATGTTATGGATATTTTTAAGAAAATTATGTAATATAATAATAAAAGTATAATAATAATAAATTGTCTGTAATCCTTCTGTTGAAAGCAAAATGGCACTTAATTAATAATATTGGCTTGCATAAGATTTCTTGCTTATTTCCAAGTATTTTCCTCTTAAAGGTTACATATAAAATAATCTGAGGTTAAAAGTTCCAGGGTTAAAACCTGACCTCAGATTGTGTAATATTTAGGTTAGTTCTTATTTTTATTAATTAGATAGCATTTATCCTAAAAATCATAATCAAATCAATGATAAATTAATACAGTGAACTCTTTCTAAATGCAATTCTCTTATACAACTTTTCTCTAAATATACTGTATAAATTTTTTTCAGTTCTATAATAGGACTTGAGAAATAAATATACTTTTATATTTTGCAATTGTTGGTTTTTTTAAAAAATATAATGTTATATAATTCTAAATAAAAAATTTTAATTTGTCAATTATTATACTATATAATAATTGTTGTAAAACATTGATTTTTTTTGATATTTTTATTTTTATAATATTAACAAATACTTTGTAAAAATTGAATTAATGTACAAAATAAAATAATTAAACTTTTAATATCTTATATAACTTTATAAAATTATTTTTCTTAATATTTACTAATTCAATTTAAATAAAACCATTAAATATATAATATATATATAAATTTTTTTAATCAAACAAGTATTTATTATATTTATTTAATTATAAAATTAAAAACATACTAGTATAAAACTTTTATATCAATACTTAAATATTTATCACTAATCATTAATTTCTAAATATAATTTTAAAAATAAATAAAATTATTTATTCTCTTTTTTTATTTATAAGAAAATTTAAGTTTATTGTTTACAGTTTATTATTATAGTTTATTTTAACAAAATTCTAATTACTTTATATTTTTAACTATTTGTTTTTCTCCTTTATTTTATTTTATAAGATCTTTATATAAATCTTTATAGACATGTTATTATTAGTTAATAAATTTTATATTGTATATCAATATTGCTATTTCTTTTATTCATATAATATTGAAATTAATGACTTTTTCTTTTTTTTTATTTTTTATTATATTAATACTTTCTAAAATTTGACTTGTTTTTTTTTCTTTTTTTTATAATTTAAATCTATTTTTGGATTTAAATACTTTTTTTAATATTTTTAAATTCAAAATTTTTTTTTTTTTTTTAGATAATTTCTTATGTTTATAAATTTTTTAAATCTTATATTTCAAATCTGTTAGCAAAATTTTTTATTTCAAAATTATAATATTTTATTAAGAATTTTTTTTTTTTGTAGATAAATATTATTTCTTTATTTGATTTATATATATTAAAATATACTGTATATTATAAAAAAAATAAACTCTCTTATATATTAATACAATAAATTAAATGCTGACTTGTTTATAGTAATTAGTTAACTAATATTGAAAAGAAAATTTAAAACAATATATCTTGTCAAGTAGCATTAAGTAACTATAAATATCTACTATACTTAATATTAAAAAAAAAGAATTGAATAATAATATTATTAAATTTTAGATATATTTAAAATAGTTATATTTATAATAAAAAAATATTAACTAATGAAATTTTGACCTAGTCAAAACTAAATCACCCAATAACAACTCTACATTAATATTAACTATTATAGATATATCTATTATTATAGCTGACTTATATATTCAAAGTGGATTTAACTTCACTAAATACATTTCCAAATTAATTTCAGATCTTTCTAATTTTCTTCCATCCAATATTGAGTAAGTAATTATAGCTGCTTGGAGCCGCTTGATGAAATATATTGTTTTAAAATTTCTTTTCAATATTAGTCTAATGGTTACTATAGGCAAGCTGGCATTTAACTCATTGTACTAATGTATAAATCATACTTGTTTTTATTAGAAATTATTTTTCTTTACTATTATCTGCAACTGGATTAATTATTTAATTTTTTATTGGCTTAAATATTATTTAAAAATATTTAAGGTAAACTTATAACTGGTTCTTACTGCCTGAACAAACTTGTATTACTGTTATTAAACTGGTCTTATTGTCAAATATCTTCTTAGAATAAATATTATCAGATTAGTTTATTATTAAATTAGAATAAGACTTGAGTAGAATTTTATAAAAAAATATTCAATATTAGAAGATTAATTATTAAATCTACTAGTTAAAAACAAATACATTATATACTTTATAACATTTGATAATTATTATAGTATCAACTAAATAATTGTTATGTCATAATACTTTTTCTGAAAATTACAATCTTAATACCTATTAGAATAATATATGAAACAGTTTTTTTATGAAAAATAATATTTAACAGATTATGATATCAAATATAATATATATTTTTTTTTTTTGTAAGGTCGCAAATAATATTTTTGCCAGCCACTGACTAAATATTTATTCAATAACGATGTTTACATATATCTTTCAATATTACTATTTAGGACTATGTTATAATGTATCAGTTGTTAACTATATTCAACACTTATCAGGATTGCTCCAAATAATGACGTTTGCTGTAGCTTGTTCCTAACTATATTAGGTATAGAGGCTAAT